GTTTCGCGATGCACGCGGCGACACTCGGTGATTGTGGTGTGTGCGGCGAGCGATGATGTCGTCCCCGAACGAGTGTGACGCCGACTCTCTCGTCTCCACGTCCATCCTGAAGATGGCGAAAGGAAAGCGGATCTCAGACTTTCCGTGAAAGTTGTTCCACCCCCCCCCCTTTCGCAAGGACGACCTCTGAATTTAATATCACTAATCCTCGCGTGATAAGGGACATTCGTGTTGAAACCACCAGTTCATGTATGGAAGCGTTTTGCCTATTAAGCTGTCACACACATACAAACACACACACATACAAGCACACAAAAACATTATTTGGGTTTCAATTATTTGACGTCAACAATAAAGGAGGAATTCGCAAGTCACCGACGAAATCAATTTGCGGGAACCTGGATGCTTCTCGAAGTTTGACTGTCCCGATCCGATTGGCCGTTCGGGCGACGGAAGAGAGAGAACGAAGAGGGACATCCTCAGGAGACATGGAGACATCCTCACTCCGGTTTGCTCGCCCTTGCCGGAGGGAGGACCCCCCTCGGGCCCCCCCTCGGGCCCCCCCTCACTCAAAGGGGTGCTCAGGCTCAACTGCAAAAACAGGGTTGGACTGTGGTTTAAGGAGCCCCCAGGCGTGACGCGCGCCACCATTGGCCCAATCTTGCGAAGGAGAGTAATTGAAGATGATATTTTGTCGTCTCCGAATGTTGCATCATGTCCAGAGGCTTGGTGTAACCAAGGTTCATGCATTGTTCGCTTATTCCGTAATCTTATGTAATCCAATAGTCCTTTGATTTTATTAGACGAATCAACTGGATATTCATTTATAGTTAAGGTTGCCATTACCTATGTCACCTCAGTCCCCAACCCGGTGGGTTAACTAAAGAAACTAAGCCTCGCCTCTGGGATTTCCTACACAGTGCACCTACGCTATCTCCTTTTTTTCAGCCAAGCGTAATTCATCGGAATCCCGCGATAGCATTATTTACAGACGGAGGCCAGCCCAGGGAGACGTCACGCAACACTGGCCCCGAGGAAGGAAAAAGACGACTTCCTCTCAGCGTGTCTGCCTCCTCGCGAAACGATAGGTCTAGGGGGAAAAAGAATTGGCAAAGGCAGGAAATTCCACTCTCGTTATGTTCACGTGAGACTAAAGACGCACTCGTATTAGCGACATTTAGTGATATTAAAGTCATGTAATTTGATCAGCTTCACCAAAACGCTTTGAAAAATCAAAGCAAGTCCAACTTCAGCACATTCCATAAAAAATATGGTATCATATCAATAGTATGGAATAGTTTGGAGAAAATATTTTGATTTGGGCGTGCTATAGGATGAGATTATTGCAATTTTGGCGATTGATGTCGCCAGAACGCCAGATGCAATATTATTTTTGAACAAATCCAACTTCTTGGAATTTATTCGCAAATAATTGCTCTGGGGTCATGTAAGTACTTCTTTTAATATCTGATCTTCCTCCTAAGTATTATGTAAGTACTTCTTTTAATATCTGATCTTCCTCCTATCTAAGTACTATGTAAGTACTTCTTTTAGTATCTGATCTTCCTCCTATCTACTTTCACTGCTTTTTCCTTCAGGTGGAGAGGATCAGCTGTGAACAGTGTCCGTCTTCCCTTCATAAGTAAACCAGGAAAATAATATGTTTAACACGTTTGATTTAAAGTTCTTCCAATCCTTTGCATTTCCCATCGCTTTTTTTCCCAATGAATGGAAACGAATAGAAATCTATTACTTGAATACTTGTTGGCAATTCACACCTGAATAATAAGAACATGGAAAATAATCAGCCGCATCCCTGCGCGAATGTGTCTCAACGTTGCAAAAAGAAATCATCTCATGTGCATAAATATGAAGGAATAGTTATGAAGCTACTACCTGGGTGCCTTTCTTGCCATTTCCGCTCGGGTCTTTGTTTTCCCGCTTTTGCCATTTGTCTTTTTTCCGGGTGGCTTTTTTCCCGAAAAGATAAGGCCACACTGTCAGGAGCGCGTTCTGGGTGCACAGGGGAACGTGATAAGAAAAAGGGATGGACCGATATAGGATTCCTAAATGCAGATGTCGATACGCTGAAGCAGTGTTGCAAGGCCTGCAAACACCTTTGTCGTGGCCCTTGGATGGCTCCGGTCTGTAAAGGTCCATATGTAAATGCGGCGATTTAAATGTGGCGGCTCCTCGAACCCGTGGAACATGCGGCGAAACCTCAATTTGGCCCTCTCTAGGGAAAAGGTTGTGCACCACTGTACGAAAAGAAAATTATATATATACGTGGGTTTTTATGGTAGTCATCACTATCAAAATATACACTGAAATCGAGAATTAAGCAGCTTCACATTAATTCACTCGGATAGACAGGGTATATGGCACAGGATAGGGAATTATAGATTTACATGTGGTACAAATGTATTTCCATAGAGGAAAGGTCTTGTCACTCATGGCAGGTGAGAATGAATCGCCATAGGGTGCGTATGGATGCCCAGGGGTGAGGATGGACAGTCACCATGAAGAGAATACCCGAGGGTATGTTTCATTATATTGCATGGGGCGATGCCGAAGGGTGAATGGTACCTTTTAAAAATTCGACGCTATCCTGGAAAGAGGGTGAGGACATTGCACCCGAGGGTGGCCATGCAACAATCAAGGGTGCTGCAGAACACGGTGATCGTGCTCATACCCATATGGTGGCTGTCAAGTGACAAAACATGCACCCCCATGAGGGTGAGGGATCTCGCCTTTAGGATTTGCAGTGTTTCAAAGCGATTTTCATGCTGCATTATGCTTGTATATGTGTGCATCTTATCGCATCGTAATTGTAGCCTTTGTAAATGTTTCACAGGAACGTCGATAACGTTGTTCAGTACCGTCTTGCTTGCAACAGTTTCTAAGGAGGGCAGTTACCTTTTCCTTTGGGACAATGTCCAATGTTCGGTTTGGCTGAGCGCTAATCCCTTCATGTCTCCGCGATTTTCCTTCCTTCCCAGGAAGATGGATCGGCATAGGAATGGCAGCAAATTCGTGGCAATGGCTCGTGAGGTTCATATCGAATATGTTTAAACGACCGGGATCGAGCGAGTGACGTTGTCTCTCACTACGTAAATGGATATTTTAGAAATCTGAAACTTGGTTGTATGACGCTTTTGGAAAATTGAGCTTAGAAAATACGCATGAAGAGGCATTTGCCCGTAGGAGAAAATATTGCATGATCCAAGGAGATTTTTGAAAAATAAAAATCGTATAGAATGCATATAGGATCCTGTGAAATTCTTACGGGAATCCTATGAAACCCTTAATGTTCCAAAAAGTGTCTAGGACTCTAAAAAATCCTAACTTATTTTTTTTCCTACGGATACCCTCGCGACACTGTCTATGTGTGCATGTGTGGGGTGTTTATTATTTTTTTTTTGGGTGTGGGGAGGGGGGGAAATTCTCAAATAAATATTGAAAGCTGCATAGAAGCTGTTGCTAAAAATATGTTCCCCTGCTATCAGTTGATATCTGCATGATCTCCAAAGAATCTTGTGTTTTGTGTTTCTTTTTTACTTCGTCCTGCATAAATGGTGATACAATAGACACTGTTATTTGTTTCGATGAGGGAAAATCTTCCTCTCCTCAAACGTCACTGCTTTGGAGCGTAGTGCTGTCTTCGTGCGGAAAAAAAAACACGATTTTGTTCTGCTTTGGGTCGAATCACCAATCTTGGCATTCCCTTCGTTTTCTTTCTCCTTGTCCGGTTCGACAAATTCCCCAGAGGACTCCGAATCCGGAACGCCACGATGCCACCCGATATGCGAAGAGGCCACCTACCCAAGCGAAGAGGCTACCTACCCAAGCGAAGAGGCTACCTATCTAAACGAAGAAGCCACCTACCCAAGCGAAGAGGCTACTTACCCAAGCGAAGAGGCTACCTATCTAAACGAAGAAGCCACCTACCCAAGCGAAGAGGCTTCTTACCCAAGCGAAGAGGCTACCTATCTAAGCGAAGAAGCCACCTACCCAAGCGAAGAGGCTTCTTACTCATGCCTCTTCGAGCGAACACCGCGAGGGAGAGGGAGAGGAGAAGGTGCCTCCTTATCTGCCTCTCGGTGCACGTCACCTTCGCACCAAGTCAGTGTGAAAACCACTTCGACGATCCGGTCCATAGGATGCCGTTCCGGCCAGCGTCTCGCGTCTCGTCAGGTAGGCTCCAGCCCGTTTCGATCATTTTTCTGGGGTTTTTTTCCCGAGCGGAAATTCGCAGGCGCGAGGGGGTGGCTCGGCTCGCGCGAACGTGGATTGTGGATTCGGAGTAAACATTCCAGTTTTACTCTTGAGGAAAGAGAGTTGCAAAGCTGAATGGGGAAATGCGTTCAAAGCATGGTTACCAACCATTATTACGACATATCAGTCGTTACCATATTGAAACCCATTATATTCTTATCGAACCAGGTCGATTTCCATCCCATAGCATCCAAACGAGGCCCATGATCGAAAGCCCGAAGAGCCATGCCTCGGATCAATAAGACTGGATTTCCCAGGCTGCGGGCCGGTCCGATTGGCCTATTGTGCTAGGTCGATTAGCCAATCGGGCCAGCCGGGAATTCACGGCTGGGTGAATTGCACCTCAAACGTGGTTCGGAAATTGAGTTTTCGAGCTGGATACAGTGCAAAATTTAAATCGTTCCGTGCAAGACTCTAACGGGCGAAGAGGACAGCGCACAAATATAGCCTCTCGTAGAGATAAGCTCGGCGAGAGATAAGTGAAGCAATATTACTCGTAAAATTGTCACAGCTTGAGAAGCCGGAAGTCGTCGAAAGAACCTTCGAGGGTATAAATCGATGACTCATCTCGTTTCCAGAGCCATCGGACGTCTCCGCCGTCTCCGCGTCCGGATCGGGGGGCAATGCGGCCCCGCCGGGCGGAACGAAGTCCGTTCCTCGGGCGACGCCGAGGCGAGTTTAGAACGTCCGCTCGGAACTTCATCTTCCGCTCGGAATTCCTCCGAATGAATTCGTAAAAGTGCGATTTCCATAGGCAAAGCCGGAAGCAGAAGGATTTTGGCCTCCTCGAGGAAGCCACCCTGCTGGGTTCGACGAAGGAAGGGCTGCGCGTCCACGAGCCGAGGAAGCGACTCCTGTTCTCGTATGAAGTGAGAAATTTGGACGTTTTCAGCGTGGGACGGCAAACGCTTCCATTTCGGACGTACGGCAAGGTCATCGTTCTCACCGGTGCCAACGGAGTCGGTAAGGTCGACGTCTGCCCTCAAAGAAGAATTTTTGTCCTTCCTCTAAGCCTCCTCTAAGCCTCCTCTAAGCCTCTAATCCTTCTATGGATATTCATCCAAGAGCCAGCAGAACTTCGAAACGGACGGAAAGCGAAACGTCTTCGGAAAATTTCGGTCAGGTTCGGCGACGGTTACGATTTGAAACGCGACTTTGGAGAAATGCGCTTCGCATCGCCAACAACTTCACGAGTGACGTTCATTGGTCGATATCGCATTTAACCGGAAATTGGAAAAGAATGGGGAAAGGTGCGAATGCATAATTTATTTTTCTTTTTAGTTCTATGAAGCAAAAATTTTGTCAAAAACTTTACTTATATGCACTTTTTCATGCTGCTTTTTTTTAAAAGGCATTATCGAAGGGAAGTGCATATTCAAATGAAATACTAATTCTTCCGAACGCAATGTAATTTGTAATTTGTAATTTTATGGTAACTGAACCTAACCTGGCTCTCGAGCCATGAGCTGTAATTGTGAATAAATAGTTATTTTGCGGTTCTTTAACCAGATCGAATTACCCAAAGGATAAAGCGCCTAGAAACCTGTTGGTTAGTGTTGAAGGGTCTCCCCGAATACGTCGGGCTAACCGAAGCAGATGATCGCTTGATTGTGGTTTGAGTTTCTCACGCGAGTTCCGTGCCGAAGGGCGTGACCTCGCCGCTGATTAACCGCTCGCCTGCTGAGGGGCTTGTGAGGGAATTTGAGTGCATCATTTGCAGACAATGTCCTGAAATTGTAACATACATCGAGCTTCTTCCTGAAGTTCATGATCGTGTATGATGCATCTTTGCTTTTTTTTTTTGTTAAATGAGCTATGAAGACAGCTGTTTTTAAGCCCATCCGCTGACTCGCCCATCTGAGAGAGGGACTCGGTATGAGGGCCTTGCCTGACCAGGCTGGTCTGCCAGACAAATTTACATGGATGTTTGAGTAGAGACAGGTGCATTCACACTAAATGAATACCCCGGATGGACACAGGATGTGATTGTTCGTTTTGACGAATTACATTGATTAAAATTTTCACAAATTAAATGGTCATTCACAGCAACTAATAGGGCGGGAAAGTGGTCAGCGTATGGGTTACAGGAAGACACTCGAGTGAAATATATTAAGCCACTTTCTTCAACACGAAAAAGGAAAGACGACCTTGATGAGCACGATGTTGAACTACATGCTGGGCGTGGATTTTGAGGACGACGAGAGACTTCAGATGGTTCAGTCAAGAAGAGACCCGCTGAAGAACAAATCCCGCGCGGTCACCGCCTACGTCGTCCACCCGCAGAAGGCGCAAGGCCGGCGCACGCACCCGATCACGATCGTGGACACGCCGGGGTTCGAGGAGACGGAGGGGCTGGGCGGCGACACCGTCTCCACGCTGATGGCCCTCTTCCAGCACAGAAGGGGCATCGACTCGCTCCATTCCGTCGGGATGGTCGTCTCCGCTGCGACCACGAGGTGGACGGCCGGTTACGCCCAAGCCATCCAGCAGCTTCAAAGAATCTTTGGCACGGACGTAGTCAACAGCATCCACCTCTTCGTCACCTTCGCTGACGCCAGGCATTCTTCCGTCCAGGACATGGTGGAAAGGGCTGGAATACCTCATAATGGAACGTATCCAGTCGACAATCGATGCCTTTTCAATAGGAACCAAGAAAAGAAGCCCGCTTGGGACGAAACGATGAGAAGCATGGCAAAATATTTTGCGATATTATCGGATGCCATCCCAGTGAGCGTGATCCGGACCCGGGAATTCCTCATGCGGAGAGAGGGAATCGAGAACCACGTCAAAGATCAGCTGGAAAAAGTAAAAAAAGGTAAGGTACACTAAATTAAGTATGATTTCATTTTTGATTTGCTTGAACTTCGCCATTTCAATTTGGAGTGTATGAGATTTGTCTCGGTAGTGGTCATAAGTCCTTTTTATAGTTAATTTTGACCTTTTTGGAGCTAAGAAGAAGGGATATCAGAAATGGTAAATGGTGTAATAAAAACATTAAGGCAGTAATGTAAGCGGGTGGCTTACCGAACAAAGGTTAACTATTTGGCGAAGGCAACATATTTGACTGATTACTAAGAAAAAAACTTGCACCAATGAGTGTCTGGTAGCGCTCTTATAGCCGAATTTTTGCCCAGGAATTTCTTCGCATTCCACGAATACGAAGAAATGGAATGAAATAAATATTTTCCATCATTGATTTAATCATTGACATAAAAAAATTAGTTTTTACTTTTGGTACGCATAGAATAACTTCCAATTAGCGTAAACCTCTCATCATCCTGCATCGTTTTGATTATATTTATTGTCCCTTTTTTTTTACAACTTTATGAAGTTTCCCGGTTGACACAAGGTCCTCCACATCCAAAGGATTTCCCCGAAGCTGCTGCAAAAGTTCTGAAAGAAAGAGCTAACACGCTGGAAATTTTCATTTCAGGACTGGAAACCTTGGAGCTCCTCCAAACCGCTTCCAACGTCTTGAAGAAGAGCATCGCTCAGGAGGCGAGCCAGGAAAAGCTCACGGAAATCAGGAAACTCTATCGGACCACCCAGCTGAAGGTCCACAAGCTGATCCGCGACTCACACGCTAATCTATCCAAGCTGGAAGAAAGTGCCCCGAAACGGGATGCATTCCCCTTAATCGCGCACATCGACTTCCTCATCCAGCTGGAGCTGGATGAAGGACACCAAGGACAGGCAGCAGCCCTGAAGGTCACGCGCGCGGCCGCAGAGTGGATGGCATCCGTAAGGGACGAGGCATATTGGGATTGTTTCTTTCTATCACTCTCCGATCCAGAGGAGACCGACCATTTCGTCGCGTTTGAAGAAAATGACTCTGACGCCCAGCTCCCGCTCGAGCCTGAAGGTCTTCTTAGGACTCTCAGGAAATGCATCAGTAATCGGTATGTGATCACGTCATCGAGTTTTGTTACCTATGCGCTCATCATTTGCCCCCTACACATTCTCCATTATTTTCTTGTCATTTTTGATTGCGTTTATTTCGGTAACCATTAGGCTAGGCATCTCGAGTGGTAAGGGTTTACAAGAACATTATGTACAAGTGAATTAATATTCCGTTTTTGTGTCGAATTCGTGATGTTTTCAATGTTTCGTTCAAAAGGCCAATGATAGTTCCCATGAAAATTCCATTCAAATCTTAATAATGGATTCGAAGGGAAAAAAAATACTATCCAGTATTGACCAGTTTCTCATTGGGAAATCATTACTTGTACCCAGCCTTGTACAAAATACCAGCATCATCCGACCCGGTCCTGTTGCTATGCATTCAACAGGACGCAGACAGAGGGAACGCGCCAAACCCAATCGGGAGTCAGGGACGCATCCCCGATGGCCTCCACTCCAAAGGTACAGGAAGACCTTCAGAATATGTCCTAGGTGTTTATTTCAAACGTTGAAGTGGAACGTGTTTGAATTTCTGACGAGATGGAGGACGAGAGGAGGGTAGCAGAGAGGGCTCGAGGCTTGTCCATTTCTCTAGGAAAGAAAAACGGATACGATTTGTGCGAACTGAAGAAAGAGATGGTTGTTAAGGAGAATGGCTTTGGCATCTATCATGTCATGAAGCCCGATACCCCCGTCACCAACGTCGGGAAGGTCGTCATGTTCGTCGGGGTGACCGGGGCAGGTGCGTTTTTCTCGTCGAATTTTCCTGTTCTCATGGGCATGCGTTGCTTCTGGGTGTACTTACCTTGGGTGCGAGAGTGGGGACGGAAGTACGGAGAGGGAACTTAAAGAGAGGCATTCGAGAAGACTCCTGGAATGAGATACTTTTTGTGTGTAGGTGGTCTGTTCCTTTACGAAGTTGAAGGTGGATTGAGAGACTGATATGCACGAATAATTTTCATTATGAAACACATTTTAGAACGTTTTCTGGATAGCGAAAATAACAAACTTTTTTTCTTTTAGGCTTTATTAACCGTCAAATAAGGCAATTTTTTTCCGGCACACCATATCGTTCTTAAAAAATATTAGCCCCCTTCAACAAAACCTACCCTGTAGGATCTTTTGCAAAATGGATTCAGATATTGAATGTCCTATCATGTCCACACCCAAAAGCCAGGCAAGCTTTTAAACTGTTTGGCACAACAGACTTGAGGTGTCGCAGGAGCTTTGCGATCACATCGCCTTTAGGAAATGCTTAAAGTATAGAGCTTAAGAGAATGGACCATTGCACTTTCAGTTAATATCAACGATTTCACTAGTGTAACCTGATAATAATTTCTTACTGATGATTCCGGATGGAGGGAAAATTCGCGAATCGCTTTTTTCTATTCTCAGAACATAACGCAATGCAAATCCGCAATTGGAGGCTTACCAGCTGACCTGCAGATCAACAGCTGACGATTTCAGCTGGAATGCAGTCTGGAGATTTTGATGGCCGATCAAAAATTGATCTTACTTTCAAGTGTCAGATTACCTGACACGACCGCATGGTCTGAAAGGTCTGAAGCCCTTATAAGTCAAAGGGACGCAAGGACTTCAGCCACGCCTCGTGGAAACACCAGATTCATGCCCATTCACGCATTTACCAGTCTTGTAAAATTAGACATTAAAAGCGCAGTCATGACTTCGTTCAATACGAATGGCAGACTCGCTTCAGACGAAGAACAAAAAACATCAGTCGTGTTGAATCTGTTCATACCTTACTTTTCCAGGCAAGACCAGCATGATCAACTCGCTAATCAACTACCTCCTCGGAGTAGAATTCGATGACGAATTCCGTTTCAAACTCATCCATGAAAAAGTCACCGAGTCATATCACAGTATCACGGATGAGGTTTCCGCTTATATCGTGCACGCCCAGCACGGATCGAGATACCCGCACAATTTGATCATCATCGATACTCCGGGATTCGGTGATACGCGAGGCTTACAAGCTGACAAAGAGTTGCTCCAGAAGCTTAAGAGGTTCTATGACGTGGGAAAGAAATGGAACATCACTCGAATCCATGCCGTGGGCCTTGTCGTTAAATTGAGCGACTGTAGAATCACGACGGAGCAGAAGTACGTTTTCGAGTCGGTGTTGAGCGTTTTTACGAAAGAGGTGGAGCCCGCTTTCGTTGCCGTCGTAACGTTTGCGGACGGAAGTTCGGATCCCCCCGGTCTCAAGGTTTTAAAGGCGGCTGGGATCCCCTACAACGACGTTTTTCTGGTCAACAACTCGCCCGTCTTCTCTCACTGCAAGGAGGGGAACCTGGACATGAAAAGGTACCTGTGGGACACCAACTTCGAGAAGGTGAAGCTCTTCTGCGATCGGTTGGAGTCCTGTGAGGATGCATCCCTCGACACCACGAGGAGGGTGCTGCACGAAAGACTCGCCATGGAAGGCATCACGCTTCGCTTGCAGAAGGAAGTTCAAAACGGTAAAAAACAAAATATATTGATTTCGGAATTTCACCCGGTGAAGCATTGATTAAAACTTCCATTCACTTAAGAAATAATAATTTGTCAGCCTCATGCAGAAGTAATCATAGTTCAAAAGATTGGCTCTCGTAATCTTACTTCTATTGATAGTCAAATTGCAAATAACATTTTCAAGTCACTGTGAAGCATATAGTTGAATAAGTTTTGGCTGAATACCTTTTTCATCGTCTGAAAACAAATAGAAAATTCACAATAGTGAGATACTGGCTGCAACGTTATTTCATTGCTACAGCGATGTAAAACTTTCCGATTTTAACCTCGAGGTTGGGGCTCTTTATAACAGAAAGCAGGACTGTTTGAAAAAGGTACTTTATCTAATACACGACGATGATATATACACGATAGTGACTGCCAAACGCTAACTCTAGATTGGTCAAAACAGAAGTTGCATATGAATTATCCGAGATAACGGAGAGCCTAAGGTGCGGACATAGTTTGCTGGCCCTTCGACCAAAGAAACTCGCAAGTTGTATTATAACCTTGATGTCCTAAAACACTACGTATTCCGTAAATTCCAAGGATTTTCTGAGGTGGGGGTCTCAGTCACTCAATATAGGACATTTACTGAATTCTCGAGACGTAAATTCTTAACTTCCGTAGATTAGGGGAATCCTTGGTTCACAAATAAGATGTAAACGCTGAGTTTTTCTTACGCAGGAAGAAACCGCCAGTGTAATAATTTTCCATCGTTCAGTGCTTATAACTCGAAAGCAAAATATTTGAATATGCGACATGACCGCTTGAATCATACGAAGGAACGTCGAAAATTGAGGTCGATTAAATTTTCCCAGGTTGTATATTACACAAAAAAGGCATTTGTAGATGAAAAGTAAATTTATTTTGCTACTCTTCCAGAAATGCGAAAATAGGTTAGATGGAAGTCTAAATATGCTTTTTACATGTGCTCTTGAAAGATTTATAGAAGAACTATAAAATGTAAATCTGGTCGTTCATTATAATGGAAGGTAACAAGGTTAAGTTTTAATTTGAAAATTGCTTTCTATTGAGCACATTTTCCAGCTGCAGTATGCAAATAAGACTTACTTCGCTCTCTGCAGTTAAAAAATGCATCTCGTATCTCATGTCTCGCAAACAGCGGAAGATGTCAGCATAGGATCTCCAAAAATGAATATGTTTGTGTTCTAGGAATGGACATTCTGAAGCTTCTTGAAGTCACCTACGGTGCATTTAAGAAGGGCAGCGCTGAGAAGACCAACAAGGACAAGCTAAAAAAGTTAGGGAAAGAGTTTAGGGACGTCCAGTTGAAAGTGCACAAACTCATCGGTGACGCTCGAGCCAGCTTTTCCAAGCTGGAAGAAATCGCCCTTAAACCGGAATCGGTGACCATCACAGAGTACATCGAATTGCTCATCCGGAAGGAGCGCGACAATGGGGATGTTGAGAAACTGAAAGCGCTTGAAGCCTCCCGCAAGGCGGCGGAGTGGCTCTCAGCCATGAGGAAGCAGGCGGAATGGGATCCTTTCCAAGATTGTCTCGCCGGTCTGAGAAAGATCGGCCTTCAACTCGCATTTGACGGCGGAGACTGCAACGTCCAGTTCCTCTAAGAGCCTTCGGAATATCTTTATATTCCTGGGGAGGGGGGATCCCTTTCACGTGACTGAAGACTAAATTAGATATTACTTGGACGAAAGTCATAACAAGAAAATTGAATGAAGTAAATACCAGATGACTGTCCTCGCCCTGAATCGACATTCCTTCTGGTCTTTCTCTCCAGTCTTTTTTAAAGCCAATATAGAGATAAATGGGCTATGATTCGAAATTTTCTTGACTCCATGCAAATTCATGAGTAAATGTACTCAAAAGGAGAGCCTTACTTGTTGCAGTTCCGCGTTACTCCAGATATTAATACTCGTACATAGCCCACGAGTAAACCAAACCCCTTTTAAACTTCAAATCAGCAGGTGAATTTAAAATATTTATCAGGGTTACTCAACCAATGCTTTTTAAGGCAACAGTTAACTATTATGAAAGCACACCTTAATATTTCGCAGCCAGTTGCGCCTGGAGTGAAGAAAATATTATATTCCATTTGTTTTCGACATTCTTAATGGCGTGAAAATAGTGTCCTGCATTATAGCCTGATGCCAATTGTGATTGTGGAGAATGATTTCAAGTACGTTTGCATTGTGAAGTCATGAGGGATGCTCTGAAACGACTAGAAATTTGATAAGACATGTGAAATATGATGGCAAGGAACATTGATAAAAAAAATATATCGTGCATTTCTGACAACTGTTAATGCAGAATAATGCTGTCCTATATACTTTGGCGGAAAAACGTTTCCAGATTGACGCTTGATAAATCCAACTTTTAAGAAGTTAGGCGTTTATTTATTTTACACTGAAAACACAATGTTATCATTTTCATGGTAAACGTTCAACATCTCAAGGTCGTTTTGACTAATAATTAATGACTCATTTGACTAATAATTTGACCAAGTTCAACTTTCCTGGGTTTCGGGCTACACTGGTTTCAATGGTGCTCAACAGATGCTCCTCACTTGTTGCCAAATAGCTCGTTTTCACAGTTGCTTCCTTATTCCAATTCCCGTAAATGTGCAGTATCAAAATGTCGTGGTCGACCAAAGTAAATATTGAGGTGTGCTGGGGTTAGAGGAGGAAGCTACACAGACCGGGCTCCATGGCCGGACTGGAAATTCTAACAGTTCCCCTCATATGCCTTAACTCAAAATACAATTGTCCTATTGAAGTCTTCTTTTTTCAGCTGCGTCCTGTGGATGTCCCATGAGCAAGAACGCCATACAGGGAACGTTTTGATAGGAGAAAGGATTCAGTGTGCCAAATAACACATTTTCTTGCCGTCCTGAAGCAGCTCCAACCTGTCGAAACGCGATTTCTTTATGCTGTATTTTGAATAAGTTCCTCATTTTACAAAAGACCTTAAACCTTTTATGATGAAATTTTGTTTTAGTGAAGCGAATGCACTCAAAACATAGCATTTTAAAGAAGATCTTAGAAACATCAAACAGGGCGCGATATTTTCACAAGTCGATGCTATGTTGCTCAAGGAAATCGGAAAAATGGCATCACTGTGGAAATGTATTAGCTAAATGTATTATTATAAAACGTGACTGTTTTTCCACTAAAATTCGCCAATTATTATATATAAACTATATGAGCCATACATTGAAACACGAAGAAACCCTTCAAAAAGGACTACTACATTTACTTAAGTTTGTGACTACGATTGAAATTAAGTTGCTTTGGTGTACCTGAAATTCCGATTTCCTGAAAAATTCACATTATTGTCGCCACTCCACATCTTCAACATCTCACTTGCTTCTCACATGCGTGAAACCGAAGCTAAAAACATCTGCCAATTCCGAGACTAACATCGAGGAGTCACGAGAAAGTGTGCATCAATGAGCAAGCTCACAGTCGTGACAGACGCTGTCCTTCATGAAAGAGAGAGGAAGGTTTACCGCTTCCCTGTCCTCAGATTCTTATGGACCGAAATAGACGCAGCTTCTAATAGGAACGCCATACCGTCTTGGGTGCATACGGAACAGTCATTCAAACCGGACTGAGGTAAGATCTGATGGTTTCATGGTTCTGAATATAACACCTGCGAAAAAAAAAACATTGAATACCACAGAAAATTGCACATCGTCATATGTTTGTACGTTTGTTTGCGCTCTAGCATCGAAATCGCTGAATATAGAGCTCTGACATATTTTTACACTGATTCCTTATCATTCAAGGATGTGTCCTTCTCCTGGAACATAACTCGATTGCTTTTCTTCTCTTGGCCCAAAATTATTTATTTGAATGGGAGATGGCATTTGCCCATCTCATGACGTGAATGCCGTCGAATAAACATCGACTAGGAAAATGAAAATGCATTTGAGCTTCATCCGCTCGGAGCACAATGTAAATATAATATAATAACTGTTATAGACGTGAGAATGAGTTATGAAATTATCCCAGTCAGGAGTGTATGAGTGGCCATAGATCGGCATATTTTTCTGGAGGCTGTGGCTCCGGAAAGTTTCGCAAACTTGGCCCACGTTTGGCGGACATGGATGTTTCACTAACAGGTGCAAAACGACTGAATCTGACAGGAAACTTCTACGAATGCTTTGAAGCTTTCTTGAGTATCGAAAGTACCTTGTACTTCGATACGTGCCAAAGGCATTCACCACACTCAGGTAGCCATGTCATGCAGCAAAAAAAAAACTGATTCACGTGGGAAAAACTGCATGATGACCATGTACCATCAAGAACGTCCCAGAAAAAAAAAACACTTCTGTATTATTAGTAAGGAAAATAGGGAAGACTTCAGCAGCCATTACAGTTCAAGCTTAATTAAAATGCATCAAGTTAGTGTCGTCATGTCGCTTCTCCTACACCGAGACCTTGATGGCCTACATAAACGCGTCAGTGCCAATTTCGGGAAATAGGTCTGACACAGAAAGGTTTTGAATGAAGAAAGAAAGGTGATGATGAATGGGAAAGCGTCGAATGAGGTCGGAGTCATAAGCGGTGTCCCTCAAGGCTCGGTCCTTGGACCGCTCCTGTTTTTGGTCTATATAAATGATTTGGATCTCGGCGTAGAGGGTATGATAAGTAAATTTGCCGACGACACCAAGATAGGTTTTACCATGAGGGGTGAGGTGGATAGGGGTAGGGCCCGAGCTAGATTTAAGTCTTTTGGACGAGTGGAGCAAGAAATGGCTCATGAGGTTTAATAAAAGTAAGTGTAAAGTTCTCCACGTCGGCCGAAACAACGGTAGGTCTCTCGACACGTTCGGCGATGTTAAATTGGATGAGGCAAACGGAGAGAGAGATTTAGGTGTTTCTATCGATGAGGACCTCAAGTTTTCCTCGCACGCGCAAGCGACGGTGGCCAAATGCAACAGGATTCTAGGTTACATTCGTCGGTCGGTTGCAAGTAGGACATCTCGCGTTATTCTTCCGTTGTATGCGGCGCTGATAAGACCCCAGCTGGAATATTGCATCCAGTTTTGGAGGCCTACAAATAAGGGCGATCTGTTGGCGCTCGAGGGAGTACAGAGGAGGGCCACAAGAATGATTAAGGAGGTTAGGGGACTATCATACGAGAAGCGTTTAGAAGTGTTGAGACTGTACTCGCTCGAACGAAGGTTAAGGAGGGGCGATCTCATCCAGGCTTTCAAGATAATTAAAGGAATAGATAATGTCGAGTGTGGTAGGTTTTTCCAGTTTGATGACAGCAAGAGAACGAGAGGTAACCGACTTAAGTTGCGCAAACCGCAGGTGCGGCTCAGGTCGAGACAGGAATTCTTTACTTGCAGAGTGGTGAACGCGTGGAATGCGTTAGATGACGAAGTAGTGGCTGCCCCGCGCTGTGACTATCTTTAAGAAGAAACTAGATGCTTTCATGGACAGGCAAAAAGGTGGGGGGCAATGTTGACGTTAGGTACTAGACAGTAAGCAACTAGGATAATCAAAAAAAAAAACAAGCAAAACAAAGCAAAAATACATGCAAAACAAAACAAAAATACAAAAATATTTAGCTTGAAGAGGGTTAGGCCTACCCTAAAATTAAGGAACGCTCGACCTCGACACGTGATATCGAAATGGGTGAAATCGCCTCTTGATATCACTAACTCTCTTGACTCTTGACTTGACTTCTTGAATCCTTGCTCCTAGTTATGCGATCCGAAAATGCCATTCTGCTTGTTTGATGCGACGAAATTGGAGCTAAGAGCCCTTCATCCACTGTCTTATTTGCTCTAAATCAAATGTTTCTCTTGAAATAAATACTCCTAGGTAGATCGACTGAATATAACTGCTAACACTGACGGAGTAAGCATTTAAAAAAATTATTTACGGCAGGTACCGCAAATGGTCCAGCATTCAAAGAATGTTGGTCCAATGTGGGTGTATAAACGGTGACGGTGAGGATGTTGAATTATCTAATGTTGATGTAACAATCAATCCACACCTAGTCTGCAATGATTCAGTGTCTCATTCTAAGCACGTCGGTGTCTTTGTAGGGGATGAAAATGCCAGATTTGTTCAGATTTCGAAATCTTGCTTTACCTCACATGATACCAACATGCTAGCAGGCGAGCCACTGACCCCGAACTTCGCGGATATATTGATACGAATCTAAGCAGGGGGAAGGGAGTGGGGTTATTCAAAGGAAACCACTGTTTTTGGAAAAGATCTTTTCGATTAATTTATTGAAGAGAGACGAATGTGAGATAGGCTTTTTTGTCGCCAACGGTAATATCGCATGGGATTTTCTTTATGACTCCTTGCTTAGCAGCATTGCAAACGGATGCACGGGGCGAATCGGGATCGTCCAAGATGATGAGGTGGGTGGTGGCCCTCATGATGCTCCCATGGTAGTATTCGCTCGGATACCCCGCTTCGATCAGAATCACGAAAGCTGCCTCGCAGCCTCGGATGGATTCTTGGTGGTGAAGGTGGATGTTTGCGTTTTGCTGGCCGAACGTGTTTCCTTCTGAAGAGAGGAACTGGCAAGGCGTTTCTAGGGTGTTCTCGAGGCAGCGATAGATAATCATCTGCACGTATTA